AGATGTGTATAAATATATATATATATATGTTGGGTCAAATTTGTGTGGAGGTTGAAAAATACAGGGGGAGTCTTTATGGCCCAAAATAGTGATTTTAGACCACACTGGTAATGTAATTCAACAGGCAAGTTACAGTAATATTTTTAGTGAATAGGCCTAGCTAGGTATACAGTAATTTCATTTTACAGTAGTTTGGAAAGTGGCCTACTAGGACTACAATTTATTTGAAGCTATCTTGGGTCCAATCGTCCACACCAGTTGGGCCCAATCATCTGTCACCCGAAGTTTTCATTACGATGACCAAGAACGTATACTATCTAGGCCTTTTGGCTTAGATTGCTGCCGTCACTCTGCTACGTATACTGCTACCCACTAATACCCACGCGGTGCATTCTTAAATTTTACACACATTATTAAAATGTATTTACGATAACACGATATCACTGACTGAACAATCTACCACCCTCGCATCGTAGTAACTAGTGTACTGAACTAGGCTTAGCTTAGGCCTAATGTTTTTGTGGAAATTTAGATAGTCGTTATGTAGTACCCGACAGTCGGCTGCCTTTATATCTTCACTTGTCTTCAATTTGCATTCAAAGGGTACATTGCTGCATAGCCAACTGTCGGGGATATAGTACCTTCATATGACTACTCATACAACAGAAAAAAAAGTTGCATGGAGTTAGTGAAAAATGGAGATCTAAATGAAAAAACGATGTATTTCAGCAAGTATTAAAACCTTTTTGTTTTATTTTAGGCTTTCTTCAAAATAACTAGGCCACAGCAGTTGATTTTTTTTGCCGTAAAACCAAAATAGTTTCATCCATGTCGACCTGCCGATCGCTTGATTGGTTAGCGTGAGCCCTGACTGAACTCTGCAGAGTGCAGAAACTTCACATCGAACTTCGCATCGCGAGGTAAAACATAATGTCGGAAAACTTTTCTTTGACGCATGCGCATTTGCATAAATGTCTACACACACATGCACACACATACTACACACAATAAAAAACAAAGGAAAAACAGAAGAGTAATTACAATAGTTCCTATTGCATTACATGCATTGGAACTAATAATATCTACTAGCTTTTGTTACGATCTCATTAGTGTTTGTATCCCAACATTTTACCGTAGTTTTTGAAACTGACTCAATCTCTATCCCATACATCAAGATTGGAGGAATATCAGTAATAAGTTTTTGGAATGTTATATTAAGTGATTTACATTTCTCAAGGTTGAGTTTAAGTTTATTAAACTCTGACCATTCTACAAGATTATCAATATTTCTTGTATGCGAGATTGTGAAATTTTTTGAACAACTTCCCCGATGCTTAGGTCATCAGACATATTTCCAATTTGAACTATTTACCCCCTGAAGCGCATCATTGATAAGGGAAAGGAATACAATAGGACCTACAGTAGCTTAGTTCCTTGTGGAATTCTGTATGCAAGATTAATACTATTGGGAGAGAATACCTTTATATACAACTCTCTGTGTTCTATCGGAAATGAAGTTACTTTATCCATGTAAGTATTTCCAATCTACATCCCAGGGATGCTAGCTTAGATATTGCTATTGTGTGATCCACACAATCAAACGCTTTAGAAAAGTCAGTTAAAACTAGTTGTCCAATTGTTTTAGGAATGTTGCTCCCTTTATAGAACAAATCGAGCAAACTCCACTAAATAATGTGATGTTGAACATCCTTTAAGACTGCCAAACTGATTTCTGTCTAGGTTGGTTTTGATATCAGACATCATCATCCTGGTGATAAAACCTTCCGCTATCTTTGCAAAAACAGGGGTAAGAAAAATTGGTCTCAGTTTATTAATGGTTGTGTTATACCGTTCTTTTGGGATTGGTGCAACAATCGCCTGTTTCTATTGAATTGGTATAATTCCTTCCTTAAAGCCCCATTCCCGTCAGTATTTCATTAAAAACTGACCTTTTTTTTAGAAAATATGCATTTGCATTACTCCAATTATTATAAATCATGGAAAATATTGGCATGAATTTTAGTTTTACGCGTGGAACACAAAAAAATCAAATTTCAGTCTTATTTTACATTTTTTTCATTCTTAGGAATGTCTAAATTCAGTTAAACTAGCAATTCCATATTATATTTATAAATCTTTATAACATTATACAAAAATTAGATTTTTCTTAACAACTGAAATTTTGCCAGGAATGGGGCTTTCAGAAAACTATTAATAATGTCAGTCATCGGTATGCTCAATTCACAAGCCAATTCCTGGATTATTTTATTAGGTATTTTATCAGGGCCAGTTGATTTTTAAACACAGACTTTTTTTTAATTTGCAGAACACTTCCCACTCAGTTATTTGTGGAGGCTTGTATTGAGGTAGAAAACATGGAAGCTTCTCAATAATGATGCTAGGAGAACTCTGTGAGATGTTAGCAAAAAAATCATTGATGGCATTCCCGATAGCTTTGAAATCGACATACATGCCTTTATGCCATTTTACTGGTTCTGCTGACTTTAGATTTTTTAACTGTAGAAATTTTTCTTAGCTTTTGTCAGTGATTTTTAACTTTATTTCTGCACTGCCTCCATGCATATGAATTTCCTTCTGAGTAAAAAATCATCTGTCTCTTGTAGATCAAATTCTTTATTTCAGGAGTTACCCATGGCTTGTCAGTTGTGTGTTTCCTTACCATAATGGTGGGGAAAAAATGGTCAATAGCATTGTGCATTGTTAGGTAAGAATTGTTTGTTTTGTTTTGTGTCCTGGGCCTCGATGACCTCCTTTCATTGATGCGTAGTAATCCATCTGCCGAATAGTTGGATACCCGCTGCTCTAGTTGGTCTTGTCGACACTTTCGTGATCTTTTCGTATCGCAAGTTAGATTTATTTGGACTCAAGACAACACAGTTATGGTCACTGAGACGCATATCTGACTGGATATATGGTACTTTGTAAAGTTTGCTAATATTGGTGAAAATAAGATTAAGTATAGCATTCTCCCTTGTGGATGAGGTAAAAACTTGTTTCAAAGCATGTGTGGTGCAACAACTTGGTGTCAGGTCTGTTGAAATCCCCAAGAATAATAAAGCCTGCTTCAGGGTGCTCTGATTTTAAACAGTCAATTGATTGAATTATGTACTCTATGATAAGTTTGCGATATAGTTGCGATGTTCCAGCAGGAATATATACAGCGCATACTATAATACATGATACAGACCTTGGAAATCTTGTGGGCCGTGTCATTATCCACACACATTCAATATCTTCTGGCACAATAATTTGTTTTATTTGGTGTGAACTGATAGTTGACTTACAATAAATCGCTACACCACTTCCCGATCTAGTAGTACGACACTTGGTATAAATATTGAATCCTTTAATACACAGCAAGCTGTCTGGTATGTTCGGTGTTTGCCATGTCTCTGTTATGGCTGCAATTTCAGCTTGACATGTAGTCAACAAGATCTCAAGTTCATCAATACGGTTAACTATAGATCTGTTCTTTTTTTTAGTGATCTTCGTCACGATGCCACATGCTGGTGTGTGTTGTTTGTTGTAAACATCAGATATCAGGTCATGCCTCCTAAACTCTGCCAGCTAATTTGGTTAATTTTTTTTGTGGGGTCATGTGCAAACATGTGCTTGGCTGGGATGACGTCAGATCACCCAAAGTTTCATTGCGCGACAGCTTGCTGATAGAACGAACTCAGCGTATTTCGCCTATATTTACAAATTAAATCTAAATAAATCTAACAAATTTAAATTTTGTTCTCTACAAATTTTCTCTGTAATTAAATTAGCAACATGTTTCTCAAAAGTGTCTTGTTGAAGAATAAGTGAAGCTATGCATTTGTTATTTACACTGATGAATCTAACGACATCCAAATCCGAATAAACACTAAATACTAAAAAAGCGTCAGCCATCGTAGAAACTTGCTTTGAGTTCCGCCTTAATTTTAGGATGATTCCAATCGATTTTTAAGGAGCGATAATGCACTTTATTAAACAATGGAAGGCGTAATTTTCACTTGATCTAACCATGATAACATTTATGTTTAATGGTGTGTCGTTTTAAATCAATAGATAATCTCTGGCAGGGCAGTACGCTATTGGGACTGAGAAAGCAGTACGAACCGTTCATTCACAGGGTTTTGTGCTAGGCCTACACTAGTTGTTAATTCTTAGACAGCAATGCAATTATTGCGTTATTTCATCCGGAAATCGTTGTTTAATAACTTTTGTTTGGTTTGTAGAAGTTCGTACATTGTACACAAAAAAGTATAATGACCCACGATATCGATATAAAGACGTTTTTCAACCTAGGCCTAGCATCTTTTACGTTGGTAAATAAATTGCTGTGGTCAGCAAAAATTTCGTCGGCATTTTGAGGACTGTGGAGGGGAGTTATTTGATATGTAAAGGCGAGCTATTTTCGCACCCCTCGATAGCAGTTTAGGAGCGCGATGGTGCACAAGCACGATCACGCACCTTATGTGACAAGGTCTGGTATACAATGTCTACCCAAAACTAAGCAGCAAAGCAGATGATAATCAGAGAGCTTGGCAATAGTTATAAAAGACCAATATTTCAGATGCGTACAGTGTTATGTGGTCATTGATTTTGATTACTGACCTGAGCAAATTCCTCATCGTGGTGATGGCCTATTCTTTGTTTCTTAAGTGTCTCCATCATCGGCCGATTGTAAGTCCTACCTATCAGAGCTGGATGTGTATTCAGATGTTTAGCTGGGTCAAAATTTGATGCTGCAAAAAAAAAACCAAGTGGATTAGTAAGTAATACTTGAAATAATCCAATAAATTATAATTTGCAGCCTAATTCAATGAGTGTTTTCTCGTATTATTCCAGGGCACTAAAAACAGTAACATTATTTTCAATACTATTTTTATTTATATTTTTATTATATTATTATTATTATTATTATTATTATTATTATTATTATTATTATTACTTTTGGACCTGAGTTTTGGTGGTCTTTAGCAGCTTTGGTCTCTCATTAGAATCCCTCTAATTAAAGACCGGCACTACAAGTGGTCTTAAATATCACTACTTAGAGGAAATTAAGAATGATATACAGTAATAAATGTAAGATTGTTTTATTCCAAGTGCTTTAGAATGGATTTGCAGTTATTGTATGCTGTTATTGGTTCTTAATAAACCATTTCTGGGTATTCACACATGAAGTCCTGCGCTCGTTCTGATAGCCGGGTGCGTACCATTGGTCCGAAGGGTATTTAGTGCGAAGGCCTATTTGTCCGAAGGGTCTTTGGTCCGAAGGCTCGTTGGTCCGAAGGGTCTTTGGTCCGAAGGTCCATTGGTCCGAAGGCCCGTTGGTCCAAATTAGTGACCTTTTTTGCAGGAATGCAGGTTATACGGCAGTAAAACAATTCCTTACAATTTATGGAGTAAATTAAGATCACTTTTCTAAAACAATATTCCCAAATATTTTCCTTAACAACATATAAGGCCAAGTAAAAAAAAATATACTAGTTACTTGTCACCTCCGGCATCCATTTTCGCTGCCTCACCATTTAAAAAATAAATATATATTTCCTTTTTGTGAAATGTATGAAAATCTGGCTAACTCACATCAGTAAAATTCCTCTCTCGATCGTGGATAGGGAGATGTTCCTAGTGAGAATTTCAGTTGAACTATTACCAGTAGTATTACGAATTAAAACCTAATGTACTATGATATGAACCATGTCTAGTGCTTCTTATATTTGCTTTTAATGTGCAGTGCAGGCACTACAGGGGGGAACAGGGGTGGGGGAAAAATTCCTCCTAGAAAATTTGTTTCCCCCCCCCCCCACCCAGAAGAGTAGACAAACACACAATTTGTCAGGGAGAAAACAAAATATATATATATATTTTCTACATATTGGTAAATTATCTATTTAGAATCGATTGAATAACCCTCTGAAACCCCTCAATTTTCCGGGGATCCGCCCCATAGACTACTTTCGAAACATTTTAATTGACACCCGACCACGTTCACTGTGCTCTCGTCGGGGAACTTCCCCCCTTCAAAAAAAAAACATACCTTGCCCTTCATTTACTCCCCCACAGATGCTTTCGCCGCCACTGTCAATGTGTCTACTTTGTAAAAATGAGAAAGTAGTTAACTGTGTCCCATCGGCCATAAGTAAAATAAATCTGTTAAGTTTTTCCAAAAACTGGATGGAAGTTACTTGAATTCCCCTATTGATATTAAAATGTTTTCTGTCTCCTGGTTAAACATTAATATAAATATTAGGAAGATATATTTACGCTCCATTCGCTTGGAATCTTTTCAATTTCTAATAATTTGTTAAAAATATACATAAACTGAGCTGACAAGTCATGCTAGCAATAATTGTATATTGTTAACCAATATAGACCTACATGGTGGTCCTGAACATGTGTTTTCTTCAAATAATAATTATTTTTGTCTATATTTGAATCAATTACTTCGGACCACAGATCTTAAGACCAAAGGACCTTCGGACAAATGCACTGACCCCAAATCACCAATTACAATATTAATAACAACATCGTCCTACTAAAACTATCAGTATAGGCCTATTCAATAGAGCACTGTATACACATAATATTATGTCCTGCCATCCTGCTAATCTCAATCGGCCGATGGCCAACAAGCTAACCACTACCCACCGCCACTAATTGCATCTACTATTTTGCTGTTATGTAAATATTCACGCATTTTTGTCATGAGCCTTGTTCTCTGGACGATAATCTTTTCTAACCACCACTTGTAATGTCCTTATATAATCTTTTTTCATTCAAAAGGTGCCTCTCGAATTTAATAATTTTCCATAAGAATCCCTCGATTTTCATCTATTTCCATAAGTGCCCCCTCAATTTCCACTCTGTTTTCATAAGCGCCCCGTTTGAATAAGTGCCCCTCAGAAGAAAGTGCACAATACATCAGGTTTCAGCTTCGTACGTTACATTGTAATGTAAAAATTTTGCAAAATAAGGTTTAATATACAGACTGTAAGCTAATTTAGACGTAAACAATGCATATTATTACTAATAATAGTAACCATCGTACAATGACGAGTGTTCGTGCTATTACTCTGGTTAGGCCTAGTCCGTCGGACCTAGAGTAGGACAGTAAAGTGTAGTGCTCAAAATTTGTTAGTGTTGCCCAGTCAATTTTGTTTTTCTAACAATTACAAAGCCTGGTCTTCAATTCTTTCTTATTCAAATTCGCTTTCTAGTGGCTCAAATTGATAAAGCTGCTCCATTTCTTTGCTTCCTTCTTTAGATCAGTACTTCCCAACTGAACCTCTTTCATATGTCGCGCAATACGATGTTTGTATTGCTGTACATAAACAGTCATTTTTAATATTTATAAACCAAAAATTAAATATTTTATTACCACTCATTTGTTAAACATATGCAATACTTCAATAATCACCAACTTAAAAAGCATTATTTTAATTGGACTTTAGGAGTAGTTCTAGTGTAATGCTCCCCACCCCCGCCCCTCCATTAGATTTGAATATCTCTATCTAAATGAAAGCAACCTTACCTTCTTCTTTGGTGTCAACAAAAAATGTGTGCTTATTTTTTGGCCTCGTTTCATCCAGCATGTGTAATGAAGATTTCAGTCTCTCAATTTTCTAAAGAGATGAAAGAAATATTAAAATCTATCAACATATTGTTAAATCAATGTAGAATAAATAAAAAAATAATAATAACAACACAACTAATACTACTGTAAAACCTAGAATTGAAACCCAGTGGGCTTAATCTCAAGATGAAGCTTATCTTGAATTGAAGCCCCCTCTTTAGTTTGCAAAAGCAGCCTCGAAAAGAAGCCCATCTCGAAAAGAAGCCCATGTGAAGTCCGCAAAAAAAAGAAGCCGCCCAGGACTTCAAATTCGAGGTTTTTACGGTATACTAATAACAGAAAAATAACAGTGATGTATATCCTGGGTATTCAACCTTTTTAAGCTGGTGGCCAGTTTAAATCTGATGAGACCAGTAGCAGGCTGTCATAATATTGTGTACAAAAAAATTGACTCAAGTACTATTAGGATGGTTAAAAACAATGCCAAAGCCAGAAATTCTCTGACAAGGAGTCTAATATCCTTAAAAGGGCACACATTTACCTCCTGACTCCTGTAGATTCCTGGAATGGCACTCTCAGACTGTTAAAATGTGTTTTAAAAAAAGCGCTTTCAACAGAATTACATGGCCAAAGTCTGCTCCCTGGATTGGCCACTGACCGTTGGCATTGTCAATTGTTAGATCATATCAATGCCCCTCACTTTGATCCCCCATCAGTCTCCCCTCCCCATGTCAGCAGTGGCGTAACTAGGTTGTGAGGGGCCCTGGTTCAAGTGTACGGTTGGGGCCCTTGACGCATGTAAATTGACTTGATCATGTCAAGAAATGTACTACCGATTGGTTGGTTTATGAGCAGGGGCCCCTCAAATATGAAATATATTTTCTTGTTTTTTATGTTTTATATATATATTTTTTTTATTCTTAAAGTTTCAGAGGGCATCTTTGAAGAGCCAGCTATTGGCTGGACTGACCATAAACAGGCATTTCTACTTCTTATGACCAAAAGAAAAAGCACATTCGATATTAATTAAATTGGCATTTTTATATTTATCGGAATTTAACCATGAACAATATCAACAATGATCTTGTAGTTTTAAATAATTGAGCTAATTAAAATAAAATGGATCACACCTGACAGCATTAACTTACGACTGTGACCAAGTAAAACAGTTATTTGATAAAAATGGCAGCCAAACACCTTTTAATTGAATATCGTTTTAAATTAGAAACAAATGCCAAGAGTAAAATTTGAAAACCAAATTCAGATTATTTGTTATCAGTTTATATTATAAACACGCTTCCAAACATTTGTGGGATAAAATGAATAAACAAAAATTTGAACAATATTCATGTAAATCTTAATTGTAAATTTTTTAGCAATTATTTTAGTAATATAGGAACAGAAATTTCAAACTCATTAAAGAAGACAAAACAGAATAGAAAAATTCAAATTGTATTCACACACAAAATATATGGGTCACCCACTCAAAATATGGGTTTATTTATGAATTTGAGTAGCAGGAGAAATTTTAAAGTAACAGGAGAGTATAAAATTCAAATAGGGTATAGGGGGACGCCTAGGCCCCCATCAGGGTCCAGAAGCAGAGTTCTAGGGTTTTAGAGTTTTTTAAGCCCATTTGATGGCATTTCTCTACATCATGTTTGTAAAAAAAAAAGCAGTTTTCAGAATCAACGACTGAGCTATAAAATTTTTTATAATGATGAAGATGTTATTACTTTTCACAAACGTTGCAATTTGTGGTCGCTGAACTAGGTTGAAGAGAACATCTAAGGAAAGCAAAAAATAGATTTAAAATTTACGAAGATATCGAAAAGGAATGGATACCCCATTGGAAAAAAATGTCTCATGTGATGTGAATTGAGACGATTTTGGATTGCTCTGCCGTTTTAATCATTGTATAATCTATGACTCTGAAATTGTGAGTGTAAACAGCATTCAATAAGTTGGTTTGGCTTGCTACTTCCACCACCGAGTGTAAACAAATTTGAGCCAGTGTTGGTTTTTTTTTAATTATTTATTATTTCCGAAATATCTATGTCATCACAAAGAGGGCTAGTAAAAAAAACAAACGTTCTGATACTGTGATGTTAAACGGTTGAGCATTTAATAATTATCGTGTTTAACATACTATAGAAAAATAAAATAAAAATAAAAGGTTCATAGTCATACACAAATTAATTTTAAAATGACGATCTGTTTTTTTCTTCTCCGCTGTGAAAAAACCCCTAAGCCCAATGTACGGAAGAAAAGTTTGGGCAATGTATTGTATGTCGTAATCACCAGAGTACGTGGTGGAGGAGAAATTTCTCTTATCTTATTGGCTAACATGTGATTTGGAGGCGTGGCTTCTTTGATGGCTCACCCAGGCACGACTGCTGAAATTTGAACATCAACTTTGTTTACGTCGCGAGTTCATGAAAGTCAAACATGGAGTCTGAAAATTGGTAGAAATTTTAACAAACTTTCAACAGAAAGGAACATCGAAATGAGTGCATACTATTATCTAATATTTTCAAATTAACTTTGTGTAGGTAAATAAGGTTCTTTACAGGCCTGTTGCGCTATTTATATTGGTGGTTTTTGTATTCATTTTTGTACCCCATTGATTGAAATAGCCGGCGAAAACATCGTAGTAGCCAATCGAATGCGCTGGCCGCCGGCTCTTAAATTTGTATCTGGCAATATTGAAAAAAATAAGGTGTGCAATGTTTATCTGAAAATAGTAACCCTGATGTTCATAATTTTGATGCTAGAACTTGCATCACGATATATCGCAAAATCTGTATGTGCAATTATAAACAAATCATTAATGAATGGTCGGCTGTCCCGAGGCAAAACAACGTAACTGAAATTTTTGTCCATTTTGAGATATCATTTGGGAGTATATTAAACACGTCTAAATGACATAGGAAAATGTCAGGTCTAAATAATGAGTTGTTTCAGAGATAGCACCACAGACTTTAAGCACAAAACTTAAAATCTAGTGATTTTCCTTGGCACAAAAACTAACAAGATTAACTACAAGATTACGCGGCAAAACAACGTATCTGCGATAAAGATACGTTGTTTTGCCACGAAATGGTATTCAAAAATTATCTTGATCAGATGGAGTTTGGCAAGGCAAAATCAAATAGTTATTGGTGTCTTTATATCAGTAATCTTAACAGCGATGTATGAACAAGCTAGGTACCGTATTGCATATGATTGCCCCAAACGCGATATATTCAAAAAATATGTTGCACTTGCAACAAGACAGAGCCTGACATGTCTCCGAGACAGAACAACGTATCTGTAATTATCGCTAATAACTTTGCAATAAACAAACGGTTGTAACTAAAATTTTACATATAATCACAATGTCTATAGATAATAATCCTGCAAAATTTGAAAAGGCTATGAAAAGTTATTGCAATGTTACAAACATACAAACTTTAACTCTATTTTTCTCCAAAAGTGAAAATTAAATTGTTCAAAAGCAAGTCCAATATCAAATTATTACATATCTCAATGAAAATGACCTTATAAATGTTGACCAAAATGTTTTCAGGAAGTACCACTCAACTGTTACATGGCTTCACTGTGTACTATATGACTGGCTAGAAAAAAAAAAAAAATCCTGCTGTGACAGGAATTGAACCCAGGACCCTAGGATTAGAAGGCAAGCATCCTAACCACTAAGCTATTCAATTCCACTCCTGAGAATTCTTATGGTTAGCCATCAGGGCCATAATGAAAACGCTGTTGTCTTTTTTCTAACGCCATTACGTTGTTCAATTCCAACCAATCACAAGCTTTAAACAGCGCCGAAAAGGCCATAATAAAAGTGTCGTTGACTTGTTTAATGAACGGCGCTTTGTAACAATAGCAACGCCGTAATTATAAGATTGGCCGAAAAGGCCATAATGATACCGGCGTTAGTTTTATTTAAACGCTGTCATGTTATCCAATTTCAACCAATCACAAGCTTGAACAGCACCAAAAGGGCCATGATAAAAGCGCCGTTTAGTTTTATTTTAACGCCGTTACATTGTTCAATATTGTTATAGGTTGGCCGAAAGGGCCATAATGAAAATGCTGTTAAGTTGTTCACTTTCAACCAATCACAAGCTTGAAACAGTGCCGAAAGGGCCATAATAAAAGCGCCGTACTCTGAAAACTCTGTTCACAGTAGTATCTGGCGCAAGGGCCAGACATTCAGCCAATCACATTCCTTCTTTCATTCATTTGTGCGAGTATCTGTCGGCATAAATTCTTCACGTGAGTAGGCCTACAGTGGTTGTAAGTTATTTGATGCATTAGGTTTTCACGTCCTTATAAAATTATAGTAAGACTTGGAAACCATTTTTAACCTAAAATTCTTTCAATTGATTTATTGCAGAGTTTAACCTATTCTGTAGATGATGCAAATTACAGACATCAATGGTTCTATAAACTGCGGGAACAGAGTGTAGCGTGAGCATGTGCAGTGCCGATAAATTACACAAAAAATCTATGAAAGAAGGCCAGTGGCATAGCTAGAGGTTTTGGCGCCCAGGGGCAAGAGTAGAAAATTACACCCCCTCTTCCCCCCAATTATAATTAGAAATATAAAAATAAGCACTGTTCTAGCTCTCATATACAGTAGTAGCTCCTTCAGTGTTCTCCTCAGGATGAGGGTCAAGCATCATGGTACTTTCCCCCACTAACCCCACCCCCACCATGGTTGGGGACCTAGATTCCTGGAAATGGCACTCTCAGACATCAAAAATGTTTTTTAAGATTTTTGAAATGACTATAGATTTCCATTTTTTAACAAATTTTTTGTTGTGAACTTAGTGGCCATATAATGTACTACTATTATAGCCTAACCAGAATTGCAACAGGATGGCAATTTTGGGTCAACCTAGTACAGGCCTAGGCCTAAATTTTAGCTTCAAACTGCTTGGCAAGTCAAAACTTGGACTAAAACTGGCCAGTAGTATCATAGCAAAACATAAATTTTACGTACATGTCAAACCAAGTAAATTGGTCTTTCATAAAACAGATTTGTTTGTACAATATTCATTTTTAATAGGCATAGGCACGTACTATTGTGTGTGAATCGTCACGTCTTTCTTGTCTACCTATTCGTTTGGAGTAGGCTAACCACTTAGTAGTAGGACTAGCACTGTCTGGGTAGGCCAGATGTGGTGAGGAAAATCCAGATATATCATTCTGGGCTTGAGCATGGACATGCATTGGCAGTTTTGAAGGAAACAGTTTGTGTGAATCAAGCGAACAATCACGTTTTGAAATGAAAATGACATTTCTCAAGGTAAAAAGAACACAAAAATGAACGCAGAAAGATCAAGAATAAACTTGGGCTGATAAACCAACATCGTAAGATAGCATTGTTTTGTGTTTAAAAATATTTTCACACTCATTCATTCTTCAAACTAGAATACATGGACAGCATTGTTATTTTGTATTATTTTATTGACGATATTTTAAAGCATCACGGAAGACGCATCAAGCGTCATGGCCAGCTTGGGAGCGTCACGGTGAAGTCCCAAGCGTCAAGGTACCCTGACGCTTCAAGGGCCTGGGGAGGACACTGGTTCTTTCTTACCAGAGGTGGCGTCAGGATTTGCCCGATGGTTGGGGGAGGGGGAAATGACCCTACGAGGGGGAAGATTTCCCTGACGAGAGCAAAGTGAGCGTGGTGGAGTTTTGCTTAAATGTTCCGAAAGTGGTCTAGGAGGGCGAAGCCCCCTGACAATTTTTGACAATTTATGGGTTTTAAAGGCTTATTTTATTGATTTTAGAGTCTACTAAGATGTACAAAAATTCTTTTTTCTCCCAGACGAATTATGGTTTTTCTTCCCGACTGGGGTGGGAGAGCTATCAACTTTACCATTATCCTAATTTGTAAGACTGTTGATCGCCTACAGCTTAGTATTATTGTCTTTTAAGTTGCTGAATTTGTAACACTGTTTAAACTTGCAACTGAATTTTGCGTGCTTTTGCATCTGCAAATATGTTAATAACATGATCAAAGTTAGCAATGTTGTCTGCTTCATCGCGCTCAATACTAAGGAGTGCCAAAGCAGATAGTCTCACTCGTCCCATCGTGGCTCTGAGATATGGCAGGATGAGCTTTAGTCATGTAGTCAGAATAGGATAAGAAAAAAAGAGAAAACATTTCAGTACCCCCCCAACCCTGGCGCCAGGGGCACGTGCCCCCCTTGACCCCTAGCTACGCCACTGATAAGAAGGAATGTGATTGGCTGAAAGTCCTTGCGCCAAATACTGCGAATGGCGTTTTCAGAACGGCGCTTTTATTATGGCCCTTTCGGCACTGTTTCAAGCTTGTGTGATTGGTTGAAATTAAATGTGACACCGTTAAAACAAAACTAACTCTGCTCTCATTAGGGCCTTTTTGGCCAACCTATTATAATGTTGAACAATGTAACGGCGTTAACATAAAAAACTAACGCCGCTTTTATCATGGCCCTTTCGGCGCTGTTTCAAGCTTGTAATTTGTTGAAATTGAACAATGTAACAGCGTTAAAACAAGTTAAATAAAACTAACGCCGTTTTCATTGTGATCCTTTCGGCCAATCTTATAATTACGGGTTTTTTAATCAAAGTTAACAGCGCTTTTAATATGGCCCTTTTGGTGCTGTTTTAAGCTTGCGATTGGTTGGAATTGAACAACATAACGGCGTTAAAAAAAGACAACAGCGTTTTCATTATGGCCCTGATGACTAACCATAAACTCTGTTAACAATACCACAGTAGGTGGTCATGTTTCTATTCACAGAAACATTCTTCTCTTTTACTAAAAATCAGCAGGAAAATGATATTTTAGAAATGCCAGTGGGCCAGGGGTTGAATACCAGGGATGTAGATGATTAAGAAAATGAGCCAACAATGACGACAACGAGAAAAGCCTAACCTAAATATGTTAAATACTGTAGTAATAAGGTAGTATCAATATTTTTAATTTTAATTCAATATTTTTATCAGCTACAAAAAATAAATATAAACATGGTATGGTTGTTAACAGATTAAAAAAATGATGAATAATTATACCTTTGCCTCTACACCTCTTTTTAAGCGGACATACCGTAGATCTTGTGTATTCATCATCCTAACCTGGGCATCGTTTTGAACTCTATCCTTTTTCAATTTGTGATGTACACCACCCTTTCAAATAGAGCAAAAGATATTTATAAATAAACCAGTCACCTATCCAGTGACAGTAGTAGGACAAGTCCAAATAGGGCCACCCGTATTGAAACCATGGATACCAATCATTTCGTTGGGAAACACAGTTTGAAAAAAAGGATTTTTACAGTCTGAAAGGTCACTTATCGGCATAAACAGTAGAGTTGCCCTATTTGTAAAATTTGCTCACCTGCCAGGGAATCGCCATGCTAACAAATGTATCTAAAGTTTGAAGTGATAACTTTTTTAGCCGCACTTTAAATCAGGTATATTTAACTTGGAGAGCTCCCAAGGCAGTAGAACCAGATTGTCATGTAGGAAAAGGGGGTTAACATGGACCTCCAGGATGTATTTTTTTAACTTTAATTCTCAAAGTCTCATGACATGAACAAATTTTGATGTTCTGATTGCAAAAAATTGTGTGTCGTTTGGTGGCCATTTTGGTAGCCATAGGTTGTAGGCCCTTATCATTTGAACATCCAAATTATTAGTAGGACTATAGGGTAATTCTGGCTCAAATCAACCACCATGCCCATGCAACCCCCTTGGATTTTCCTGAAAAAAAATTCTAAAAATACCTTAATATGTCAAAAGAAAAAATCCAAAATTTCAGCTTCAATTTCCAAGCGGTTTTTAAGTTAAGACATTTTGAAATTTATGTACTAGTCCGGTGGCTTATGTCACCCCATGGGAATTTTGTGATCATTTTGTTTTTTTTTTAAATTATATACTTTGAAGTATGCTGAATTGAATAAAATGAGTCGCCAATTTTTTACGCTCATCTTCATATGCAAATTAGCTGAAATATGCAAATTAGGTCTGAAAATGTAGGGTACTTATTGGTAACCACATGTCATAGAAAGTTGCTTCTTTCTTAAAGTTGTTCAGAACATGCATGTTTTTATTTACCCTAATGGAGCATTTTCTTCAAAAATGACCGGAAATGTCATTTTGCCGACCTTACTAGCATAAATATGCAAATTAGGGGTGCAAATATAGGGAGCTATATCTTGAAAACCACTGGTCGTACAGAGTTGCTTTTTGCAGCAAAATGTTTAAAACATGCATATTTATATTTACTATAATGGACAATTTTCTCTAGAAATGACAGGAAATTGCATTTTTTACCTTTGACCTCAACTTTACGTGATTGTAATATCTTGGCAACCACTGGTCGTATAGAGTTGCTTTTTGTAACAAAATATTTACAATATGCACATTTATACTCTAACAGAATAATTTCTCAATATCAACCAGAAACTGTTTTATTGACCTTTGACCTATCTTTGCAGTATATAGGCCTATTATATATGTATATATACCTAATGATGTCTTATGGTCGAAAGTATTATTACAACATTGTTATTATTAAGGTAAATAGAAACATGCATGTTCTGAACAACTTTAAGAAAGAAGCAACTTTCTACGACATGTGGTTATACCAAGATATAAGTACCCCACATTTTCAGCCCTAATTTGCATATTTTAGCTAATTTGCATATGAAGATGAGCGTAAAAAAATTGGCGACTCATTCTATTCGATTCAGCATACTTCAAAGTATATATATCATCCAAAAAACTAAAATGATCACAAAAATCCGACGGTAGCCTTTTTTTGGACATATGCCCCTGGACTATACCACGCCCCCTTTTCATGCCGGAAATGGCTTCTTTAACTTTGTATGGTTTAATAACAAAGCTGTATCTCCGGAAACAACGAACATGAAAAGTTGAAAATTGCTACATAATCTGCAATTTAGCCTCTCTTTCAAGAAATACCATTGAAATTAGGGTAGCATATTTTATTAGGATGTTATGTGCCCCCAAAATCCCACAAAGCATTGTACGAAAATAGAATTTCACTTTTTCGAAAGGCCGTATCTTACTATTCTTTAAAGTAAGGAAGTCAAAATGAAACATGTGATGAATATGCTCATACTACTACATATACAAAAGTTTGCAAAGTAATTAGAGCAATAATGAAGGTATGATGAGGTCCCAAACATGGTTACAGGACCATTGACGCTAAAAATACCCACTCACTTTAACCGACCGGATTAATTAAGACATTTATACCAGTACACAGATACACATATCACCTATGTAAGTAAAAAGTTTAAACTTTTTTTCTTAAGTCCTTCAGCGTGAACTGATTTTTTAAAAATACTGTAGACAGATTTCAGTGTATTATAAATATCAGGTCAAAGTTCAAATCACAAATAAGTCAGTATGTGGCTTAAACTTTGACCTGATATCAGAATCCTGTACATTAAAATCCGTCTTTTTTTTTTAATCAGTTCACACTGTGGCAACAAACAAATGACAAACAACGACAACAATGACAACGACGACATCATGAAGTAGAATACAGGCTTAAAACAATAGTCTCCCTGGAGCTTGCTCCTTCGGGGAGGCTAATAACATCTTCCTTTACCTCCAATCGGGAGTTTATCATTTTAAAGTAAAATTCATCTGGATTTTTGTTGAGAGCTTTCTGCTGAAGTCTTTTCAGTTCATCTTGTTTCTTGTGATAATCTCTATATTTAGAAAAAAAATAAGAAATAAGAATAAGGTTTGCGCAAAGTGCTGACCCAGAGCCTCACTGCTGTTCTTGTTCTTGTTACCAAAAATTTTAAAAGTGTCCAGCATCCCAAGTTTTGAATGGACATGCATGAAATTTTTTACAATAATCTAGTGGTGGTTTCCAACAAACGTTCATCACCCTTCTTTTAAGTTTGTCCCCAGGGTTCCCCCTACACCTACAAAACAAAACAGGGGTTTCAAACTTTAAAAACGTCCAGCGTCGCCAATTTTGAACGGACGTTCAGAAAATTTTGTACACATAAAGTAAGTGATTTCCAACAAACGTTTATCACCCCTTCTTAAGTAGGACCCCAGGATTCCCCCTACACCTAAAAAACAAAACAGAGGTTTCAAACTAAAAAAGCATCTGACGTCGCCAGTTTTGAACGGACGTGCAGGAAATTTTGTACACATAAACTAGAGTTGATTTCCAACAAATTTTCATTTCCCTTTTTTTAAGTTGAACCCCAGGATTCCCCCTACACCTACAAAACAAAACAGGGGTTTCAAACTTTAAAAGTGTCCAGAGTCCCAGTTTTGAATAGACATGCATGAAATTTTGTACACATAAACTAGAGGTGATTTCCAACAAACGCTCATTGCCCTTTTTTTAAAGTTAGACCCCAGGGTACCCCTACACCTACAAAAGAAAACAGGGGTTTCAGCAAGGACTGTACATTACTGCCATTTACCACTACCGTAATAGTGCACGTTGCATAGATGGCGTGGTCAGTTAAAGATGTGTTCTAAGGTTGTGAGTTCGAAGTGCGTATTGGTATTCAATTTTTTTTTCCCCAATTTTAAGAAATTTTTATTTTTTTATTTTAAGTATTTTAATGATCATTCTATGTAATGTTTTTTTTTTCATGTACAAATAAACATTCTAATTATTTAAAAATTACTGTACACTATTGCCAATAGGGCATGTCGCATGAAGGGCGCGATCGGTTAAGGATGTGTTCTAAAGAACTTAAGGTTGTGAGTTCGAAACGCATCTTGGTATTCAATTTTTTAATCCAGTTTATTATTTTTTAATTGTGTACAAATGATCATTCTAAATAATGTTTTTTTTTGGACAAATAAACATTCGAATTATATAAAAATTTCTATCTTATTAGCTCTTCCGAAAAACCCAATATAATAACTTGCGCCTGTACCGTATTTAAGCATCTAGGAACGCACGGACCCGATGAGCGGTCGCTCTTGTTATTCATCATCAATACAGTTAAACTTGCCGATGTCGACTTTGCCTACAGTAAGTCACATAATTTCTAAGTCGATCTAACTTTACATGGCAAATTGTTGTGTATTCCATTATTTAACAATCTGTGTAAAAATTTTATCTAAGTCGAACATTATTTCAATGGCATTTTGGATTCGACTTAGGCAAGTTCAACATTATATAAGAATAGAAAAATAAAACATGATTAAAGAAGTCCCAATAATAAAGAAGCATACCAGAAACTTGACAAAGTTTGTCACTTGGTCACCCTAGCTTCACAATCCATGTATTATTGTTGTATAAGGTCTATTATGCTTCATTCTAAATATTTTTAGAGTAAGCCATTTAAATAAAAGTGGATTGCCTTTTTTCTTTGTGTAGCAAGGGGATGATCAACAATTGTTAAAATGAAAGCTCTCTACACATACTATTAGGTGTTATATGACAGATGCCTTATAACTAGGTTATCTAAACATTCTACACTCTTAAACAGTGTTATTCACAATCATATTGAGTCTTGTGATGATTTTAAATATATAACACATTTAAAGATGATTTCCTTGTTAATTACAAATCGCTAATGTAAATGTAAATTCTGATCATACTTTGCTCGTAATTTGTAATCCTTCTTCTTTTCTAAAAGACCAAGATGGCGTCGATTGGAAAGCTGTAAAGAAATAAAAGTGAAATCAAATATAAACCTGATATTATATGACCTTATTCTATGTTCCTTATGACCTGATATTCTATACTATTCAGTGGCGTATCTAGAAGTCTTGAAATGGGGGGGGGGGCTGATAGAGGTGCAAAGGTGAAGTGGGGGACTCAATGATCAGTTGAGGGCCGCTAATTTGCAAAATATGGTGATTTTAGGTGATTTTTAACTACTTGACCATGATTTTTTTTTTTCGGGGGTGCATCCCCGCGCCCTTTCCTAGATACGCCACTGGTACTATTGTTGACTAGTGTTAATACTAATAATTCATGTTAGCTGTACCAACAATTAATATGAAATAGAAACTGATGTTGGAATGACCACATTAGTCAATCACATAAATATACAGTATTACATGGCTCTAAAAAAATGCAATTCAATTTTTTATAGCTCATAAAATAGAAAAAAAACCAAGTTTAAAATTCTGTAGCAACCCAGCAAAGAGTTAACTGAAACTTCTCTATGCTAAAACATTGACACAAAATAATCCTTTATTATTGGGGTATTATTGGTTAGGTCCCAAATAACACCAAAAAAAATGTTGGAATCTTTGGAATGGTGGCAGTTCCACCATCTTGAATTTAAAAATGGCCACTATTTTGAAATTAAGAGTCCATATATTGACAACTGCATATCACAGAAGCTTGATTTTGGTCTCAAATTGCTTGTAATATATAATATATATAAGTCTATATTCACTCTAATGAAAAAGTTTACCAGAAAATAATCGGAAATGTCTGACTTTTGACATCATGATAATGAAATTTCTATATCTCCATAACTACACAACATACAGTAGAAACATTTAGTCTCAAATTGTTCAGAATATATAACTTTATATTCGCTCTAATAGAAAGTTTCCTGGGAAAATGACATTTCTGACCTTGACCTAATGTTGGATTTGGATTGGATTGAATTTATTCGGTGTAAACGCCAAGGATAGCCCACGAAAGTCTAGAAGAAGACTTATTTCCAGTGGGGTCATTCTGGTGGTGATTGGACAGTACACTGGGAGACAATCCCCTACTCTTTTCCGAAGAGTGTACTGCGTTCTTTAACGTGCACATGGGCCATAATGCACATGGGAACAACAGCCTAAACGTCTCAGCCGAAAGACGGTGCGCTATTGTAACTTGTATTCCCAGCCCTCTAGCTGAAACACAAGGAGAAACAGTGATGGGAATTGAACCGGGGACCTAGAGATCTTCACAGTTCAGCGCACACACAGTGGCTACCACCAGATTAGCCGACTGAGCTAAGCTGCTCTCTCAGAAATAATTGTGAGGTCTCACTATAAAATGAGTCTCATCGTTAGAAAATCAAAAAATGAGTTAATATTACATTTTGGTGGATCACATTATAAGCTTTAATTTGGTCTTTGAATGGCTTCCCTAGGATAAATAGATTTAGAGATGTTAGCATTTAAAGTTTAGGTGTATGAGAACCAGGTTTTGAGAAAAATCGGCCTCAAAGATAAACTAACCTGTACAAATAATAGGACTAGAATTACAGAATATGTGAAGAGAACACTGTTTTAGTAAGAAAATTCACTTAAAAAGTACACAATCATAAAATATAAGTATCAAGTTATTCAAAAGCATTAAAATCAAAATTTTGTAAAAATGTTGCCTTTGACCTATTTTAGTATTAGCCTAATACTAAAATTCATTCAATCAAAAAGTGACTTAAATCAACCCGGCCCGATCATATCCCTAGCTGAGTCTAATACTCCTTTTACACTGCAAGCAAAATTCCGGAGGTAAACCAGGATTTTCCAATACCCGGGTTAAAATCTCCCAAGTTGTGGTTAGTGTAGACGTCAAAAAGTCCTACTCGGGTAGCAAAACTTTCCGGGAAGGACGTGCGGGACACATTCAGCGTAGGACATCCCGGGTGCATTCCGGAGTCGCCAATGTAAACAGCACTGAATTTCATTCCAGAATTAAGCCTTACCTGGCGCCTACCGCTGCTGTGGTTAGGTAGGCCTAAACTTTGCTAAAAACGGGCTAGGCCTAGACACATGTCAAATTAAACCCTCTACGCTCCGGTATAGACAAGAAATCAAAACTGCTGATTTAATTAGCATAATTTAAAAATGCGGTACATTGCTTGAATATTGCTCATAAAATAGTAGGCGACAGGGCCTAGGCCTTTTCACTGGACAACTTAGAAATTCGTATAGTAAATGGTGTTTATGGCACGCCTCATCTAGGGTTCCAGTCCGATGATATCTCCAAAATAACTAGTAGTATATTAAGAGAAATCCGTATAAGTAATACGGTAACTGAAAAAGTACTACGCTACTTTTATAGCTATCTAGGCCTAATAGGCCTAGTGTACTACCACTACGTACTGTACTGCAGAGGCTTATTTTAATACACTATTTAGATAGGCTCTTCTTTTCCCATCTTGTGGCAGAGGTCGAAACATTTTTTTTATTTCTTAAAACTTATATAGTGGTGTAGAATAGTCTTTTAAGAACATTTCTAGAAAAAAAATAATGTGATACAATTCTTCGTTACAGAGTTATGGATTTTTAAGTAACATGAGTTCAATATTTTGTTGCCTCAAAGCTTATCATATTTTTGTTGGCTACGCACCACTGACTGGCAGATAGAGGGCGGCCAGTAGTCACGTGACCTGAACCGTTCATGTCGCAACTCTCTCTATATAGGAACTCTACCGAGTTCATTGCCAGTGTAAAATGGGAGCAACTTGGGTCAACCTGGACTTTTTCGTTCGATGTAAATGGGAAATGTACCCGGATCAATCCGGAAGTAACCCGGATCGATTCTGCATTCGGCAGTGTAAAAGGGGTATAATATTAGGAGTCGCAACGAGGCCTCGCCAACCTCGAAACCAACAAGAACAGGAGAGGGCAACCGACAGAGAGAGTGGATTGAATTCTGAAAGACGAATCTTACCCACCTGCATGTTAAATCACGTTCGATAACAATTGATGTTATTGTTCTTAGACTTATCATGATAGATTAATAAATAAATAATAAATGAATAGAATACTAAGATAGTATGGGTTAAGGCCTAAAAATATTAATTACTATCATGGGCCCTCAATAATAGCATGGGTCCCCTAATAATGTGCCCCTTCACATTGACAGGGCCCCGTCAAAAAATGTTTGCACCTCGGCGCAATCTTTCTCACGCGTCGCGCTAGTAACTGGGAGCCCACACCCACACTTGCCCCTGTTACAGTTTCCTCTCTTGGTGGCCCTGACCACTGAACTACTATACTCCCTAAAACTGACTCCCTAAAAATTTGCCACACATAGCTCCATCATCCTCTCCCATCATTTCGCACCAAACCCTAAATGCATTAAATAGTTGCCAACTTATACGGATTGACCGTGAGACTCACGGATAATTTATCATTTACCAGTTTTACTACGGATGAACAAAAACTCACAGATTTCAAGGTTACTCATGGATCAAGATTTTTAAACTAATAAACAATGATTTACAAATTGCATATAACAGTAATATGCAATAAATAGATCATTTGCCATTCATTTGTAGTGTTTATAGTGTAGCAAAGAGTAACCCTAGGC